GGATCACATGGTGTACCAGTCGCTAGGACTAATTCTTTCCATGACTGTTTGGTTTTCTTCATTCTTCTTTGCTCCTGATGAGGAAAGACCCATCATTGCATCTGCTTACAAGCTTTTAAGATTCCAGTCGCTACTCGTATGGCTATTTCTTGAGCACCTACTAAATCAAGGAATTTCTCTGAGAGCCCTACACGCATCCTTTCTTTCTTAGTCACTATTTTTCCTTCCTCTCCCCTTCTCCTTGGGTTTCCCCATTTTTTTCTCCCTATCTACTGCTTTATCTCTCAATATCCTCCCCATCAACCGGACTCAAAATCTCCATCTTCATTGACTATCTTCTTGCCTCCAACCCCATCAGTTATAGCATTTTATCCTTGTTCCTACCACCACTTCATTCATTGAACAAATATTCATTGAGTGCCTACTATGTGTCAGGTGTTGTAATACAGCAGTGATTAAAACAGAGAAACAAACCAGGGCTTCAAATTTGTTTGAAATGGTTCAGTCATGGCTGATGCAGCAAAATCAGAATAGACACAAATTTGTAAATTTGAGAGAAGTGGAATGACAGCCAGAAGGAGAACAATTATGGGTCAAAGGCCTGGAATGGGGGACTGGAAGCAGTGTAGTGAGCCCTTTCAGGAGCCTGATGAAGGAGATTGGATTATTGTCATAACCGTGGAGAGTGACAAACATTCAAAGTGGTGCAATCGGCCACCATCATTGAGTCGTGCACCACGTTTCCGACTGTGCTGGTCAAGAGATTTAGTTGCTATGCAATGTGCACATTGTCCTTGTTTTCCTAGAGGGAGATTAAATTTTTATTAGGATGTTGACCCATAATTTTTCCCATGCGATTGTTCTGGTTTACCCTTATTTTAAAAATTTAGGTCCACTCCAGTTTTGCTTTGTCAGCCGTGACTGAACCAGAAAGAACTGGTTTGAAGCCCTAAAATTAAACCCTGACCTCATCGTGCCCCATTCTCATACTCCCATTGCCACCACCAGCAGCACCACCACCATGGGTTGGTCAGTTTGATTGATAACACACAGCATTACAAAGATTATAATCCAGTGAAAGAAAAATAGAACGTATGGAAGAGAAAAAAAAAAAAGAGGCAAGTGACAGAAAGAAAGAGAAAGACCTTGGCAATGAGCCCAGGGTTACTCTGGGGTCTCTCTGAGCTCAGATAATACACTTCTTTTCTTAAGTATCTTGTATTTACATGCAAAATTGGCTGAGGAGCTCCCAGGGTCTTCATTTTTTCTTTGAATACTGCTGGAGTCATGCAACACTGCTAAGCAAAGTTGCACACACTTGGGGTGGAGGGGTGTGGGGAATGATGTAGTTCACAAACAAAACACTTTCCGGATCTTAAAGTGAAAACATACTAGAGAGAAAACAGATTGCCCTCCATAACACCCCCGTGGATTTCTCTGTGAAACAGGTGGCGATTACATTTGACATTAGTGCATGTCACCGTGCTGACTACTGCTGCTCTTGTATCACCAATACATCTTCTCTTTCCACAGCTACGTGTGTCCATGGATGCAAATTCGGGGAGTGTGTGGGGCCAAACAATTGTAGATGCTTCCCAGGATATACAGGGAAAACCTGCAGTCAAGGTCAGTACAGTGGGCCGAGGTCAGGGTCGCATTACCAAACTACACCAGAGCTTTTCAGAAGGAAATGAGTCATTGCTGTGGGGGTTGGTGACAAACTACGCTGTTGCTGTTGTTGTTAGCTGCTGTCGAGTTGGCCATGACTCATGGGGTCCCCATGAGCAACAGGATCGGACTGTTGTGATCCACAGGGTTTTCACTGGTTGATTTTTCAGAAGCCAATCACCAGGCCTTTCTTCCTAGTCCATCTTAGTCTGGAAACTCCAGTTGAAACCTGTTCAGCATCATGGCAACATGCGAGCCTCCACTGCCAGGTAGGTGGTGGCCGAGCTTCAGCTGCATTAGTAAGGAAGCAAACCCAGTCTCTTACATGGAATTGACTCTGACTCATAGCGACCCTGTGGGTCAAAGTAGACTATGCTCCATAGGGTTTTCAATGACTGATTTTTTCGAAGTGGATTATTTCTTTCTTCTGAGGCACCCCTGGATGGACTCAAGTCTCCACTCTTTTGGTAAGCAGCCAAGTGTGTTAACCATTTGCACCACCCAGGGATTTGGTGGCACAATATGCCAAAAAGAATAACTAAAAGAAAAAAACAACCCAGTGCCATGGAGTGGATTTCAATCTATAGCAATCCTATAGGGCATAGTAGAACTGTCCCATAGGGTTTCCAAGGCTGTCTATCTTTATGGAAGCAGACCACCTCATCTTTGTCCTGCAGAGTGGCTGTTAGGTTCAAACTACCAACTTTTGGGTTGGCAACCAATGCTTTAACCACAGCACCACCAGAGCTCCTTGTAACACAATAACAATGCTCAGGATTTCTTAGGTTTTCACTCATACCTTCAAATGATGGTGGTTTAAGCATTGGATTTTTTTAGTCAATCTTCTTCCCTCAGAAAATAGAAAAGTCATTCTGATCTTTTGCAATATACACAACAGATGACTTCTTTTTCTTTAAATGAATAATTTCTATTGTTTTTTCAACTTAAGAAGTAACACACATTTTTTATTTTTTTAAAAAATCCAACAATGCAAAAGAATGTAAATTTAAAATCCCTATTATAATCACAGTTTAGCAGTTTGTTCTCCAGCCTCGTGGTCCTTTTCTATGAAAGGAGAGGCCACAGATCAATAGTTCCGAGGTTGAGAAACTGCACTCCAATTACTATGGTGACTAAAAATATTTCATTAGAGCAAGTGGTCTGGTCCTTCTTGTAGATCAGTGGTTCTCAACTGGGGTGATTTTGTCCCCCAGGGGACACTTGGCAATATCTAGAGACATTTTTTGGTTGTCATTATTTGCTTAAAACAGCCACGTCTTTATTTTTCAAGGATCCGCTCTGCCTGCTGGTGTGCTACTGCAGGACAGCTCGACACCAAAGGATGATTTGGCCCCAAATGGCAGTAGTACCGAGGTTGAGAAACCTTGGCATGTGGAATTCCTGGCATTAGGAAACGCACATTCAAAAAGCGTCCCCAGCCCCCCAACGAAGTTGAGCAAAGAGCAGCAAATCAGGCTGAACTGCCCTTAAGGAAAGCTGCTTGGATTCTAGGAGAAGGGGGAGCAGAGTTTCAGAGAAGGGGTGCTCTCCCACTCCACTCTACCGTACCCAGCCCTTGCCCTGGGTCCTGAGGTGAACTGAACACACTGAAATCACCTTGTTTTGAGCTGCCAGCCCTACAGCCTCAGAGAGGACTCTTCCATTCTGTCACCAGCATAGAGGTCAGGGTGGCTGACGTGCTTCTATAACCAAGTCCAACTGCGTGAGAGGCATGCCAAGAATCCTGCTCTCATAAGCAATATAATTCAGTCATATCTCTTACCAGGGGGTTCACACACCAGAAAACTTGTTTTTCCATATGTTTTGGATTTTGTATCAAGATACCTTCTCAAGAGAGTTGGAAGGGCAGTATTTTTCATGCTTGTTTCCAAGTCCCTGTAAAATATTAACATCATGGGAGTGGTCCACTTGGCTCAAGTTGCAGGGCTGTCTGACATTCCCGCCAGGCTCCCTGCCCCCTGGTAGCCTCATCCAAGTTCATGGTTAGCCATTAATAGCCACAGGCCCTAGCCCTCAACTGATGTCTTTCCTAAAAATGCTCCTTCCAAGAAATTAATGAGTCACCTCTGGGTTAGGGCCAAGTGATGGGGCATTCCTGGGTTGCCCATTAAGTGCAATCAGCATTTTTCAATCCTCCCTTTGAAACACTTAGGATCCTTGAGGGAGATGGTAGGGGAGAGGAGGGAGGGGATGGAGAAAGAGGTTTTCAACGTCCAGTCCAGCTTCAGTGCCGGAAAATTCCCAGAGGAGGAGCCTTTCAGAGGAGGTGAAGGCATCTCCTTTATTTTCCAAGGATCTGCTTTGCCTGCTGGTATGCTGAAGTCTTGTCTCAGGTGAAATTTGGTTATTTTCTTCTCCCTATATCTTCCTTGGGGTCCCTGGGTAGTGCAAATAGTTAACACGCTCAGCTGCTAACTGAAAAATTAGAGGTTCAAATCCACCCAGAGGCACCTCGGAAGGAAGATCTGGCCATCTACTTCCAAAAACCAGCCATTGAGAACTCTGAGGAGCATAGTTTTTCTACTTGCACAGTCATAGGGTCGCTATGAGTTGAGGTCAGCTCCATGGCAACTTTTTTTTTATTTATGCATTTCTGGTGGGAGTTAAGCTATGAGGCCTCTATGTGATCACATGTCCCAAGACAAACTCATCTACCATGTTCCATTTGAAGTTTTATTTTCCTTCTGATTTGACTAGCAAAGTTATTTATTCTTAATGTAATTTTTTTTTGGGGGGGGGAAACACTGAAAAGTACAGAGAAGAATGTTACCCTCAATCTGACCACTGGGGAGAACCATTCTTAGCATTTAGAACATACCCTCCCAGACTTTTTCTTCCCGTATATTTTTATTTTTTATAATTTTGAGATCAAACTGTACACATAGTTTTGCAACCTTCTTTTTTCACTTAATAGCCTGTGAGCATCTTTGATAAGGATTTGATACAGAGAAGCTTTTTTCGGAAAGCAAAGGGGAAAGGGACGATTCTAATAGAGGGAGAGGTCTATTATAACAGGGAGAACATGCTGACCATGAATGAGATCACTAAGCATCTCAAGAATTTGGGGAAGAGCATCTTTTATAGAGACTGAGAGTAAACAAGGCTGGAAAAACCCAGGTGTGAAGAAATGGGATGAGAGGGTGACGTCACTGGATAGTAAAGCAGAGGATGTCTTATGCTGAAGCCAGCCTGTTCTCCAGGAGGGGCCCTTAAGGAGGGGTTGTATGTTGGCTCAGGCTGAGAGTGGGCCAAAGTTCAGGACTTGGCGGAAGGAGAGAAGCTTCACCAGTTTGGTGAACAAGCACTTTGCTCCTGATTGATCAGTGTGTTAGACTGGGTTCTCTAGAGAAGCAAAACCAGTAAAGCTTATAGAGAGAGAGAAAGAGAAATTTATCTTAGGAAAATGGCTCACACACTCACAGAAGCTGGCAAGCCCCAAGTTCTTGGATCAAACGTCAAGCTGGAGGCTTTTCCCAACTAATGCAGATACAGGGGCTGAGGAGTTCAAGGTTGGCAGGCAGTATACTGGCTGTTGACTCCAAGGAATGACAAATCCAAGATCTCCAGGCTGAATGGTGGATTGTTCACTCATGGACAGTTGTAGGCAGCACAATAGAATCCCAGTCCATAGAAGAGTGTCTCTTTTCCCAGGATGTCCATAAATGTACTGGAAGCAGGCCACACCCCTAGGGAAACTCCCTTTCAGTGGATTGGCTGCTCAAAACATATACATCTGATCCCATCATTGGAACAACCCACATCACAATTGCTTAAACCACACAGAATTGTGGTCCAATCAAGCTGACACACAGCTCCAACTATCACAATCAGTAATAAGCATTTCCCTAAACACAAAAGGTGGGAAGATTTCTTTAACCATCACTGTTTTCCAGTATTATAGGGTTCAGGTAAAATGCAACATTATCAACATAAATAAAGCCCTGCAGTATCCTTGCTGTTAGTAGCTGCCCATCAGAGGTAGGGCTCCCTCTTGAAGGGTCTGTTACTTGTGGGTGTTGTTGAGTCAATTCTGACTTATAGTGACCCCTTAGTACACAGTAGAATTGCCTCATAGGGCTTCCTAGGCTATAATCTTTACTGGAGCAAATCAACAAGTCTTTGCTCCCCTGGTGCAACTAATGGGTTCCTACTACTGGCCTTTTGGTTAGCAGCCAAGTGCTTAACAATTGCACTACTAGGGCTCCTTCTTGAAGGGTGTAAACCAGGGTATTTGGCCAGTACAGGGCCCACCCAAGAGAATCACACTTAGAGGCTGTGCTGCGGGGAGCTATCAGAAGCCACATGGGATATCTTTAAAGGAAGGCAGAAATATGTAGATGGTATATCCCTAACTTTTAATTGAAGGGTGCATATATCAGAAAAAGTACAACTCAATGAATTTTCACAAACAACACCCATGTAACCAGTACCCAAATCATAAGACAGAAGGTTAGCCTTCTAAAAGACTCCTGACACTCTCTTCCAGTCGCTCAGGGCCTACTCCTCCTGTTTACCCACCACCACCCTTGGAAACCATATCTTGAACTCTTACGCCACAGATTAGCTGTACTTGTTTTTGAATTTTATATAAATGGGATCCTACAATATGGACTCATTTGTGTCCAGCGTCTTCCACTCAATATCTTGTTTCTGATAGTCAACCATTGTTGTGTTTAGCTGTAGTTTGTTCCTTCCCTTGCTATATAAGATTCTGTTTCATGAATAGACAAGTCATTTGCCCATCCATCTGTTGGGAGACATCTGGATTGTTTCCAGTTGGGAGCTATTATGAATAGTGCTACTGTGATCACTTTAGTATGTGTCTTTTGGTGAGCATGTTTCCACATTTCTATTGGGTATACACCTACTCCTCACTTAACAGTGTGGCTAGGTTCCAAAGACCTGGTTGTTTTCCAAAAATCGGTGTTATGCAAAAATGGAGGATGATCACATCAGATCACATAATAGAGAGTGACTACATCATTACACAACTGCCAAATTACATCATTACATAACTGTCAAATAACATTATTGCATAACTGTCAAGTCATATCATTATATAACTGCCAAACCACCAAGCATCCAGCCAAGATGACACATAACCTTAACCATCACAGCCAGCGTTACACTTGCCTTGCACCTCAGTGCTCATGACTGCCAGATGTGTGTTGTTTATTTGCAATGTAATCAGATACTAGATTTTTTTTACCATTGTCATTAATGTGAAATGTCAGATAACAAGATAGTCAATGAGTGAGGAGTACCTGTATACCCAGGAGTGGAATTGCTAGGTCATGGGTATGTATATATCTAGCTTTAGCAGATTCTGCCAGTTTTCCAAAGTGGTTGTACCAATTTATATTTCCTCCAACAGTGTATGATAATTCCATTTGCTCCAGTTGTCTTAGTTTCTTAAGGCTGAAAAATACCACAAAATAGTACAAAGCAGGTGGGTTTAAACCACAGAAATTTATTGTCTCACAGTTTTGGGGGCCAGGAGTCTGAATTCCGGGTGTCAGCAGGGCCATGCTCTCTCTGAAGGCTCTAGTGGAAAGTCCTTCCTTGACTTTCCCAGCTCTGTTAGCCCCAGGAGTTTTATGGTATTCCTTGGCTTGCAGATGTGTCTTCACATGGTTGCTTTCCCCATGTGTGTGTCTCTATGTGTGTTCTTCTCTTTTATAAAGAGAGCACTCAGATTGAATTAAGCCCCACCCACTCTAGTATGACCTCATGCTGGCTGACAACACCTTCAAAGACCCTATTTCCAAACAAGGTCATGTTCACAGGTACTGAGGTTAGGACTTCAACATATCTTTTGGGGGGACACCATTCAGTCCATAACAACATCCTCACAAACCCTTCAAAATGGAATCTTAATGATGGTCAGAGAATAGGACCTCACAGGTGGTGTTCGGGGAAGGCAGCCTAGGTGTCTTTTGCAATATTGAGGTTCAGTGTTCTACATCCACATACTCCTGATTTAGTTCATCTTTCTGTTTTCTAACTGACCCCTACAGATGTGAATGAGTGTGGCTCCAACCCGCGGCCCTGCCCACACAGATGTGTAAACACCCACGGAAGTTACAAGTGCTTCTGCCTCAGTGGCTACATGCTGATGCCAGATGCCACGTGTGTGAGTAAGTAACAGCCAGGCAGGTCTCAGGCAACGCTGGCAGTCTGGCTTGGGCTGTTTGATGTTTGGGGAAAAGTTGACTTGGAAGCTTTAAAAAAAAAAAAAATCTCTAATATTACCTCAGACTAAAACATCTTTGGGCACTTACTTTTTAAAATACACGTAAGGTGAACGTCACCATTTGAATGTGTACAATTCAGTGACATCTAAGTACACTGGCCATGTGGTGCAGCCATCACTACTACCTAGTTCCACATTTCCATCACCCCCAGACCCTTTAGGCAGTCACTCCCCATTCTCCTCCCCCTTCCCAAGTCCCTAGAAACCATTCATCTCCTTTCTGTTTCTATGCATTGGCTATTCTGGACACTTACTTTTCAAATAAAAAGACTAAACAGAAAGGAGGGTGTGTGTGTGTGTGTGTGTATTTATATATAAAAGCAGGGATGTGCTGTGTTTCTTCATGAAAATCAGCATATTGAACAAACTAAGCATATTGTTTTAGGGAGGTGATAACTTCCACACAGGGCCATCAATTCTTCCCACCAACTACCTTTCTCACGCCCCTTGCCCCACTCCCAAAGATTAGTGTCTCTTGTTGGGAATACATTCCGACTCACATTCCTGAAAAGAAAAGCCCTTCTGTGATAAAGAAAACCCATGTCCTGTGGGAGAGTGAGAGTCCTATCCATTCATTTGCTGAGAGGGAAGGCTTTCAGGTTTTATGTTGCAACTGAAAAGCAAACCCCCACACACACCCCAGCCTCCCCTGGTTCCCTCCTCCCAACCTCAACCATCTGTCTTTTCTCCACCCAGAAAAAAAAAAAATAGTTGCCATCACTTGACACCTGATTCAACCCATGTGTGTCAGAATAGAACCACGCTCTGTAGGGGTTGGCTGATTCAGAAGTAGATGGCCAAGCCCTTCTTCTGAGGCAGCTCTGGGTGCATTCAAACCTTCAGCCTTTGGTTAGCAGCTGAATACAAGCATGTGAACCGTTTACACCACCCAGGGCCTCCCCTCTGCTCAACACTCCTTAACAGATCGGGAGAACCCTTGCTGTTTGCCACTCAGGCACCTTCCTCTGGTCACAGAGTTATTGCACAAACGTGAGGACTCTAGCCCTTCCCAGGCTTTCCAGAGGTTATGAAATCTTGGTTAGTGCCTGGTCACTACTCCCCTGGCTTCTCCTCATCCTGTCTCTCCTCGGCCAAGGGCCCCAACACCATAGGTCATCCAGACCCTCCATTAGCAAGCAAGCTGAAGAGATAAAGCAGGCCCTTGCAGGGCTTTTTTGGGGAAAAAAACAACCCTTATTATAAATTAAACAGAAACTCACATGAAACAAACAAATAATGAATTCTTAGAAGGCAAGCACCCTCATAACCACTACCCAATAGAACCTTGCCAGAACCTCCCTCTTCCCCATGGGGAACCACTATCTGGGGTTTTGTAGTAATCACTTAACATTTTTGAGAAGATATATGCTAATGGCTGTTTCTGAAACATTCCATGAAAGGCTCATCAGTGCCAAGAAAGATACCGTCCCCCAACTGGAAAGATAAAATTAGGTTATTTTGAGGATTTGTTTTAAAAATAAGAACACTAATGAGAAGAGAAGCGGGAGTAAACTAGAAATGCAACCATCAGAACCTGTCTGGTATATTAGCATGACTCGGGTCTCTACCCCATACCCTATTTCTATATCTGTAGGGGTTGCCCAGGCCTCCCTGTTTGTAGTGCAAAGTGCCCCGCTAGCCCTGGCCCCCTCCAGTGGAGACTGATTTTCTTCCACCTGGTCCCTTGCAGTCTCTTTCATCCAGCTGGGTGATTGGCATGTTATGGAGAGGTAGATGGAGAAAGTACATGTATCATGCTCCTGTGGTGTGTGAACATCAGGCTGGAATCGTATGTGCTTTTTAGTGCCCATACACGTTTGATCCACACATGCTGAACCCTTGTTATTAAGATACGTCCAAAACCAAAAGCCAAATTCATTGCCATCAAGTTGACTATGACTCATAGCAACCCCCCATTAGGTTTCCAAGGTTGTAAATCTTTATGGAAGCAGATTGCTTCATCTTTCTTCTGCAGAGCAACTGGTGGGTTAAATGCCTTAAGTGGTTAAATGCCTTAACCACTACACCACCAGAGCTCCTTAGGATATGTCCAACAAGTGACAACAATAACAGCAGCAACAAATACAACTAAGCCATTCAAAAAAAAAAAAAAAAAAAAAAAAAAAAAAAAGCTGGAGGCAGATAGTTCCAGAACAGCTCATAAGGGCTCAGCCTCTGCCATCCTCAGGGTATTAGTTTTATTCTCATGCTTGTGGTCTCATGGGCACAACATGGCTGCCCCTGTTCTGCATATCACAGCTATATTCAAAGTAGGCAAGACTTGGGAAATAGGGGATGCCAGTAAACACCTCTTTCATGCTTGAACCTTTTAGCATGAGGCAAAGTATCTTTTCCAGAAGTCCCACTCCTCCTAGCACTTATCTTTATATTTCTTGGGTCACAACTGGGTCATGTGACTACCCTTTGCTACAAGGGAAGCTGAGAAGAAGACAAGTGCTTGGCTTTCCAGACTCAGTGGTGGGAAGAGGCAAGAGAAAAGTGGGTCTAGCATGGCTTTTGCCCAGCCAATCGGTTGTATCTGCCACATGTTTTAATACAGACACCTAAGTACCGAGTCTCTGGAGTTGGGTGATTTACTGCACAGCTTGCTAGGATGGATTCCTTTACCCTAATTACTCAGGTTGGTAATCGACATCAGAGGTTGCATTTCAACCCAGTCAGGTGACAAAAAGGAGTGACTGGAACATGTGCATGAGGAGAGAGATGCAGGCTCCAGTAACTGAGGGGTGCGTGCCCTATGGAAAGACAGACAGTCCAGTTCAATGCACTAGCCAACCAAGCGAACCCAGGCAAGAGTCTGGCCATGGCCTCCACTCAGGACACAGGCACGAAGCTTATCTTGCACTGCAGTCCCACCTGTCACATTTAATGTCCCGGCATTTGGAGACGGTTCCTTGGGAAGCAGTTTCTAGCAGCTCGAGAAGGAACAATTAATGCCTGTCTGTCTTTTCAGAATCCAGGACGTGTGCCACGACAGGCTGCCAGTACGGCTGTGAAGAAACGGAGGACGGGCCGCAGTGCCTGTGTCCGTCCTCGGGGCTCCGCCTGGGCCCCGATGGCAGAGTCTGCACAGGTACAACCGCAGGAATGGCCTCAGCATCTACTGCTCCTGCCTCAGCCTCCCTTCCCTGAACTCTTTCTCATTCTTCACATCTGCTTGTTGAGCATTGAAAGCTCCCGAAAGTGCAGATTTATGTCCATTTCTGAGATGACGCTTTCAGCCATGCAATCTCTAGACACACTCTGCTATCTGATTTTAGGTTGCCTGATGCCTTAGTGAGAATAACAATTAAAGGTCATCTTATGTTAGCGTATTCACCTCGAACATTTTACTTCAATTACCATCTGTCTTAGTTACCTGGGCCCTGGGTGGTAGCA